GTGTGAGAGAGAGGTATGAAAGATGAAAAAGGAAGTATCAGTGTTTATGCTAGGTTTTTGACGAAGTTCAATACCTGGTTGGTGTTGGTTTATGTAGAAACTCCTCAGAGCTGCTCTACCTACCATGTTACCTATCCCCTCTCTCTATGCTGGACATCTGGCTTTCCATGATAACCATGCAGATATTTCATGCAGCTGGGCCTTTTGGTTTTGCCACAGATTTGAGTTTGTTTAGATGTTCAGATCACTCGGTTTGTTTGATTTGACCAAAGAATAAAACAACGTAAGGGCAAAAGTTGAATGATCATACACACTGTGTAAGGAATGTGGCAATAAAACTTCAATAAATTATAAAATTGCTGGTCATGTGCATCAGATAATGCACTTCATATTATCCAGTGTGATGGTTCCTCTTTATTTATTTCACTTGGTGCTGGAGAAAATAACTTCAATACAACACATTGAACATAGACATAAGTCTCAGTTAAGAGGGGCTGAGGTTTCACTATATGCATAACAAAGATGGCTACTGCATATTCAAAACTTGAATGGCCCTCACAGAGTGAATACTACTGCTCCTTGACCTCAGTCAGTGTGATCATTGATCACAGCATTCTCATCAACAGACTTAACACAGTGTGTCGACCTATCTGGAATTGCCCATAGATGGTTGAAGTTTTATCTCAGATACAGACATTTCTGTTTCCATGGAAATAACGTCTCATCCTCAGCTAATAATCTTTGGTCCTGATCAGCTAGCAGGCAAACCTCTACCATTTCTCGGTCTCCTGGCCACCAATATTAAAACAACAGATAACAGTCTAGGTGTCACATTTGATTCACAGCTGAATGAAATCTTTAAATCCTGCTACTACGAAATAGTTCCAAAATTAAATCAGTTCCTTCTCTCCCTGACTTAAAAAAGCTGATACCTGCCTTTGTCTTTTCCCTTCTGGACTATTGTAATGCCCTTTACACATGCCTTAGTCAAACCTTAGTAACTCGTTTGCAGCTTGTTCAAAATGCTGCTGCTCGTCTCATATCACACCAATCCGTGCATCCCTTCACTGGTTGCCAGTTAAATTCAGGATTGATTTAAAGATTATTTTAATAACTATTAAAGCTCAACATGGGCTGGCCCCCACTTACACTAACAGCTCTTGATGCTACAATCAGTCTCAACCTGAGATCAGCCAGCCTGTCCTTGTTAGCTGTCCCTGGGTCAAGGCTGTCTACTCAGGGTGACCATGCTCTCTCTGTCAGGGCCCAGGCTCTGGAACTCCCTGCCTGACGAGATTAGACTCACCAACTCACTATCTATCTTTTATCACTGCTCAAAAGTAATTTTTATAGGAAAGCATTTTTAATATGTGATGTGTAACTCTGGTGCTACTGTGTTGTTTTAACTCCTTTATTGGTTTTTATCTTACTTTTATTGCAACCACATGTAATGTAGTTTCTTAAATAAGACAGCTTCTGACTCTGCTGCCTGTGACATTGGGTAATTACTTTAGTTTAAGAAAAGGCATCGAGGTGATGACGTCTACTGAGTGGGCCACATGGCTTTCATAGCACTGCCATACAAACCAGTAGCCAGTCAGATTTACCTTTAGTCTCAGTGTACCCTGACGCTAAGGTACAATTTAAGTTTTTTTTTTCATTATAACAACCAGTCTGACAGAGATCCCTATCTCAAAAAGAACCTGAACAGAAAAAGTGAAAAATAAATTCCTGGATCCGCCCCCTGACCTGGATCCACACCAAGGTTTAATGAGTTCTTCCATCCATAAAATTTTATGGAAGTCGGTTGAGTAGTTTTTGCATAATCCTGCTATCTAATAGACAAACAGACAGACAAAACACAACCTCTTTGGTGGAGATTATTATTATTTGGGTTTCGCCCCCCCCCCCTTATGTCTCAAGAGTGAAATCTCAGCAGTTGACCTATAATCATCATATGTACTCACAAAACAACAACACAAACACACACTGGATACTAATGATCCTGCACTAAGGATAGCGTAATGAGCATGTCCTGAAACCTCTGAACGTTACTTAGTTCAACACTATTAGGACATTAATGTGTGAGTCAGAAACATTTTCCAAATTGTAAAAGTTTGAAACTTTAGGATTGTGAAATAGAAAAAATCCCTGTTCATGGGTTTTTGTATGATGCAGTACAGCTCTGCCCACACTTGTGTTGTGAGGCTCAGGTGTTGTGATTCTGGCAGAGATGTGCTGTTTACAGTTTATGGTCAAACAGCAGCTGAGGCTGTTGTGTAAGACTGTATAATTGGAAGTAGTTCATATTATTTTGCCTCTTTGTACTCTACAACCACTCACTTACTGTAGTTGATGAGTTACAGCTTACACAAATCATCTACTCTTATAATCAGTGAACATACAATAAAATACTGAACTGGCTGTGGGCAAACTGACTGTAGATGTGTGATTAGTTAACAAAACCTCCCTATTGGGACTCTCACCAGTGTAGTGGGTCTGATAGCTGAGTGTAGTGGAAAACTGCCTTTTATATTCCTGTTTGAGCCTTTTATGACCTGAATTGTCTGTGACCTGAATCTTTTATGACCTTTCTATTACTTTTATGACCTCCCTATCACTTGTTTTCTGTCTGCTCTATCTTCAAAGGAAACTTATACAAATAAGTTCTTAATTCCTGTCTCAAACTGGCTCTACAGAACCAGTCAGAACTGGATCAGACAACAGCCTTAGTTCTCCTTTATAAGATGTTTGTATTTGACTGTTCTCCATCAGCACTCTGAGATCCCTATGTTGACTCTCTGTGTTGATCCTGTCTGCAGAAAGCTCCTAATATAAAACACAAAGACAAATTTGTATTGTAATGGCTTCTTCCCTGACCCATTCAACATTGCTCCACCAAGTTTTGTGGAATCTGTCCAGTAGTTTGAACAGGGGTGAAAATATCACTTTGGCAGAGGTAACAATGATTTTGCCTTTAACAGAATTATACAGTAAAGGTGGGTTAAAGCATGTACAGTTGTAGTATGACTTCTGATTTGAGAAATAATCCAATTCAGACTAAGAAATATTAAGAAATGTTCACTTTATTAAACAGCATAAAAAAATACATAAATTGAAGTCAAGGTGGGGCTCACGGAGATTTGATTCAGAAACTATGTACAATATATGAAACCTGCATGTTTGTATAAATTACATTTTAAAGAGAGACTATGTAACTTTCACTTAACGTGACACACATAACAGTAACACACAAAGAAAAGAATGACAAATCCTGCAAGTTACAGTTCGCTAACATTAGCCACGATAAGCTACTGGCTGTACTGTAGCAGCAAAACCAGAGTGTAGTGACGTGAGAAACGTTTTTTATTGGGGGTCAATGTGTTGATTGTACATAGTCTCCCTTTAAACATCTGTGAAGCTGCATGATACCATATTTCACCACTGTTTTTAAAGTGGAATACAAAGTGTGAGGTCTGTAAAATGTGTGTTGTCACTTAAGTTTCTGGGCAGATCCTTCTGAATGTTATTAGATGGTGAGGTTTCACATTCGATCTCCTCCGGACAGGTAACGCTCCCTCCTCTGGCTTCTCAGTCCAGTGAGCCTCATAAAACCAGAGGGAATCTGTGCGACTGACGGAGGTGAAAGCTGCTACAGCCACTCTAGAAGTCCTGTCGGATGTTCTCCTTATTCTCATCCCCCTGCTGTTGTCTGAGCTGAGTGACTTCGTTCTCCAGCTGGATGATGGCCCGCTCGATCTCGTAGTTCTTGCTGACCAGAGACACCCAGCTGTTGAGGGACAGATACAGATGTTCAAATAGAAGGGAATCTAACCTGCGTATTCTCTACACAGAGTGATACAACCATGTGAGCTCTTCAAAAAAACCTACTTGGACTCGAGCTCTCGCAGTTTGGCTCCTCCTGCCAACTGATCGTTCTTACGCTGCCAGTTCATGTCCTGAATTTGCTTCCTGTGGACAAAAAAAAAACCGAATAAATACTTTCAAAATGTATTTTTAACATGCAAAACATTTTCCTGTCATCACTAACCTGAATTTCTGAAGTTCCTTTTGTGCCATCTCAATCATGAAGGCCAGGTTACTGCAGGGGAAATATAAAATGACACATGAGCAGATTTAGACAAATTCTACACCGAGATACTGTCTGTGATAAAAAGCTGCTGTCACATACTCATTGTAGACTTTCCATGCGTTGGTTCCATATTGTGACATGAGCTCCAGGTTCTCAATGCGGACTGCCTGGTGCTCAAGCTGAGCCATCGAGTTGTTGACACACTCCTGCCACGCTGTTATGTCATTCTTCTGTCCTGCGGAGGGCGCAGGCAGCTCATATCTCCACAGGGAAGAAAAAAGTCATGAAATAATCAACATCTGAAGCAACAGGGCAAAAATAATAGTGGAAGAGATAGAAATAAAAATAGACCTGTTCTGTTCTTTTCTTTTACACAATACAGTGGAGTTTTACTTGAAGCAGCAATCTATCAATTATTATTGTATTCATTGTGATTCTTTTTATTTTTGGTCAGAGTGAGGTTTATTGAGACAGCCTAAAGGAAACTTGCCAAATATCTAAAATAAATGGCCTGAACAGAGCTTAAACCAGATAAATGTAAGACTTTTTAAGATGATAATCAATGAAATGTATTACCTATGTTAAATACTTAACATATAAGTCCCAGAATCATTTACACTTCCTCAAAATGAAGTGAAGTAGCCAAGCAGAGTATAACCCTCAAATCAACAATCGAATCTGTCAAACTGCAGGCAGATGCTAAGTATCCACAGACTCAGTTCCATACTGGTAATTTTTCCAGTTTGTAGTTGATTACAGTGTGCTAGTATGTGTATCCTTGAAAAAGAACTACAACACACTGATACAGTTCAAACTATGCAGGCCACTCAAACTGTAGGGCAACGGAAAAAGTGTTATATGAACATTAACATTAACCTATATGTATATAAGACGTAGTAAGTATTATTTTACCAGATCTACAACTTTTTAAATTCAAATTAGACTTTTTAAAATCCAACACAAACCCGGAAAATATCTCATTAAAAACATTGAAGCAACTCAATAAGTAGTATATTTCAATGTAGTGCACATATAACAGCTTCTGTCTAAATAAGAATGAGGCTCCAGCACAGGCTCCAGCAGTGTGTAAGGTTTACCTCTTCATGCTCAGGAGATCCATGGGCTGTCGAGCCGCAAGTCGCTCAAATTCATTCCTCATGATTTCTGTCTGAAGGGTGACAAGACAAAACAAAGGCTGTTTATTTCTGTCAAAGCACTGGCCCAAGCCATAAAGAAGGGTTTGGAGGTCTCAAGAGTTTGTCACCTCAAAAGTAGAGAAGTCAGGGGTGGACAGGTAGCTCAGGTAGTTCTTGGTAGGTCGGTATCTCCTGGTCTCCTCCTCAACCAACGCTGCAGCCTAGAGGCCAAACGAGAATCAAGACCGTGCACAGGAAAAGCCCTGGAGCTTCCATCAAATTAACTTCTTTCCCTTTGTACCAAAACTCAACATTGACTGGTGCAGCTGATTTTCATACTTAATGGAATAGGTGCAGTATGGAAGCATTTGATGTTTTTTATGTTAGAAGGAGTCCCCAGGGACTTAAATTGTATTTGGCTGCAACGCTGTTTACCTCTGAGACTCCAGAAGTGTTTTGTGGACTCAAACACTTCACCCACCCCCCTTTCGGCATATTGGTGAGTAGATAATGAGTGACTTTTCATTTTTCCTTTAAGCTGAAGGGCAGATAATTAAATTGGCAACTGACAATAGATTTCTCCACAATCTTATATTTTGGCAGACTGTGGAGTTCTCTCAAAGAGCTTTTAGGCCTAACACAGTCCTGAGAGTCTGTGGCATAGACTATAAAAAGATAAACACAATCGACCAATCGCAAGTCAGTCTGTCTCAGCTGTCAATCATGACGTTCCTTTCAATTTGTATCACAGCAAATAACTAATTAAACCCAATCTTATCAGAAACACAAACCGTTGACTATACATCCGTGTGATAAGAACTACCTAAAATCACAGAGATCATCTTTAAAAACAATGTATTTGATGTGAACTTTGACTTTTTGGTCCATGTCCCGGCTGTTAACAGAGAGGAGGCCAGATTCATGACCTATACTGCAGCCAACCACCAGTCGGCAATCCAGACAATTTGGTTACACTTTTGGGGAGCGGTCCTGTCGTTCATCTTTATATAGGGCCTATGGTCAGTGGGTTATAAAAAGGCTACACAGGCTAATTTTACTCGTGGTTTTAAATATCTCGGACTGAAAGTACACTCATCATAGTCATGTCAGCTTTAATTGGACTGACTAAGACCACAGAAGGTAATATAAGAGCCTAGGGTGTGAATTTGACGTAACTCTTTGTTTTTCCACACTCTTGTTGACATATGGGAAGATGAAGCCTCAGACCATTAACATGACAGATTTATGACATGATGATGAGATGTGCATGAAGTGCAAATAAAGGACTATGACGACAACAAATAGTTGCCTTCACAACTTATCTTTCTTTGCACTGTATTACTATCTCAGTCCCTGATTTAGATTATTGTGGGGAGAAGAGGTGATTACTAGATGTTAAATGTAGTATTGAAATAATAAACCTGGATTATTTTTGCAGTTTTCAAGACAATTTTAATTTGCTGTCATTGAAGATGTTGAATGTGTCAGGTGTGAGCTACGTCATTATTATTATCATTATTGTAGGCTAAGGGAGCAGAGGAATAAAGAGGGAATATGATGTGCGTCATACTAAACTGACAAATGCACCCAATGTTTTCAATTGGTAGTGAAACACCTAACCGCAGAGAATCAATGTGTTGCTTAAGTTAATGCTTTTCAAATGATGTGAGTCAATAACCTCCGCCTAACAGATGCTTCCAAACCAAACAAGCCTGATCATGAACTGAAAGAAATCTTCACAGACTATTATATACTGTGCTCCTGATTGCTGTGGGAGTGTCATGGGAGTTTTTGGAGACATTAGTGGTATCTCATCTTAAGTGAACTATCCTAGTACCTAATTCTGGTCCTCTTTCTGAAGTCTATGTTGTGCTTTTATGGCATATAATGTTGGTTCACAGCGAACTATGTAGAAGGGATCCAGTCTCTAGTGAGATAATTTAAGTAAATTTAAATTATATCAATGTGACAAGGAAGTGATATGTCTGCAGCAATGCATAAATATTTGTGCATTAGCATAATGTAAAAATGTTCATTTCATAAACCAGCCCAACTTGCCCTCATTCTCAAACACAGGCGTAACAAAAATGAAGGTGCATAAGATTATATTTGGCAGCACCAGCTCACTGCTTTAGAAGAAGCTAGTGGAAAAGCGTAGCCTATTGACACATCAAAATTTCAACTCTGACATCAAAATGTCTCAATTGATGAAGTCTAAGTAACTTATGTGAAAGAACATTCTATCATAGGTGCACTTGAGCATTAATGAAAGGGCTGAAGTCCTCTTCTGTGAGGTGACTGTCTGGTAGGAAATCAAATCATATTAATTTGACAGATACCTGAATGGAGTCTAATGTGGTGAAAAGTACAGAATTACATGAGGTGTCACAAATATGGGCCTTTTCCACAGCCAAACATTTTGACATGTCATGGCAGAAAAAACACAGGTAACATTGTTAACAGGAATTAAATTATTGGGGGCTGCATTCGTAGAGATGCCAAGGCTCTGATAATGTCCATGCTGGCCTATTAAGAGGCATTATCATGATACATGATTAGGATATAAAAGTCATAATTACAAGATAAGAGCTTTATTTTATCCCCTTTGTTAATTGTGTGTGCCTCCTTATAAATCAAAAAGCCATCATGAATGAACTACTATGCTTTATGTGCAAAGGTAATAAAGGATGTCTGCTGTGAAAAAGATCTGTGCCCTATATCATTTTCATCTATAGGAATATAACAGAACTTATGATATATACAATGACATATTGCTTATAAGGTGTGCAAGGACAGTGAGGAGTAATAACACATGATTGATCTACCTCAAATGTGTGAAATGTTTTGCTGTTTATCAAGTGTTTGTTATTCTCCATCATTTATGGCCATGTCGTCCAGCCCTAGTTTACAGTGCAGTGTCAAAACTTAGGTTCTCATCTATCACACCATACAGCCACTGCTGGAGGGATCTGCTTTGTCTCACATGCCAGTCCATAGAGATTTGGCCTGGGAGCCGGAGGGTGGCCGGTTCAAGTCCAGCATGGACTAAAAAGTATTGAAGGTGGACTGGTGGCTGGAGAGGTGCCAGTTCACCTCCTGGGCACTGCTGAGTTGCCCTTGCTCGCAGGGCTTTTCTCCAGGGCTGCCCATCACTCTACCATCTCTCTCCATTTATTGCATGTCTATGTGTGTGTGTGGGATTGTAGTTAAAAACTGCTTGTATAAGGAAATGAGTTAAAATAATTTGGGGGATCAATAAAGTATCTCTCTCTCTCTCATTCCCATCTCATACAGGGAGAATAACAAGGAGTCCTGCAGCAGATGATCTGACCCCACAGAGCCCCGATCACAACATCATGGAGTCAGATCAATCTGGAATAATAAAACATGATATGATAGTATACTACTATGAATAGACTATTAGTTTGTTATGAGATTGTTACTAGTACACGAAACAGTACTACAGGGAAAAAAAGGAATCACTACCACGTGGATTTCTATTATTAGAGGAACCTGAGTAACTGTTATTTTGTCTTTATTTCTAAAGGGACTTTGCTTCTTCACTAACTGTGCTCATGTTGTATGTATATTTTCCACTCCTGGTGCCAGTGATCTATAAGCTGGAGTGAAACATCACTAGCCGGAATAGGTGCAATAAACAAAACTTGTAGTTCTTATCTAAATGTATTGTTATATGCAGAATACTCAATCAAAACGTTACACTCCAGTGTGTTCTTTTTATCTGTGGGTATAGCATGCTTGGCTAAGCTAACATGCTGCGGTTAGCATGGAGCAGTTTCCCGGTCTGATTCAAAGGAAGTATCGCTTCACTCACCGCTTCCCGGACACCTGCTGCATCGTAACCTTGGTCAAAATATGGCAAAGCATCGACGAACACTTCACCAGCGACTGAAGCCGTCCCGGCCATTTTCAACTGGTCTTTATTGTAGAGTTTATTGAACTTAGAAAACGTCTCTCTAGGTTGAGACACTTCCCGGAACAGCTCACTAACAACTGTAGGGATTTCAGGTCTTGCGATTTTTACTCGTGCCATCTAGTGGAGCGGAATGGAAGTGCAGCCAGGTGCAAAACTGAAAATACTCAATTAGGCAGATAAGATAAGACAACATCAAATGATCCTTTATTAATTCCACAATGGGGCATAGAAATATAGACATGAGTAAAAGTAATAATGAATAAACATGAAGGAGATATAAAAATATGAATATAATAAATAAGAATTTATACAATTTGAACAGAGTGATCAGAAAACTGTAACAGATTTCACATGCTTATATATTGTGTAACAGATTGAACATGATGGATGGCACATGAGCCATTGAATTTCATAGACAGAAAAGAGTAATGCATAGTTAAATGAGTTACGTTTATAGAGCAGTGAAGAAAAGGATGTATGACTGCATGTGCAAAATCAACAGATGTTTCTATTTCAGCTGTGTCCAGGTCTATAGGGATGATATATTATCTAACATATTCATATAACTGTTAATATTATGACATTGAGCTTGAAGAGAGAAAATTAAACAGTAGTTAGACTGACCTGCTGTACCTCTTAGGTAATGGATGGATATTTTAAAAAACTCATCTATGTTCGACAAGTCGTTTTGGGTGGATAGAATGTGGAGATCATTTCCCTTAGCAGTGGAATCTATTCATAAATTTTTTTACCCTGAAAATGCTCCCATTTTGTCAAAGGGGGTCAAAACGTTAAATTTTCAACCCATGCATCCTTGAGGTCTTGTACACAATTGTTGACATCACTACAAAAAAGTGCAAACGTGGCAAAAACCCACAGTACCAATCACGCCCTTAACCCTAACCCTAATTGTAACCCTAACCCTAACCCTAATTGCAACCCTAACCCTAACCCTAATTTTAACCTTGACCGTAGGGTGAATAACTTGCTCGAAACGTGCACCAAGGCCAATATTCACTATTGGACTGTGAGCTCTTCCTCTCAACCAGTCAGCTTTCATTATGGTAATTCATGGTGTTGTGATTGGCTGCCGGGTTGTCAGCAGTTTCCTCTGCTGCATTTAACTGCACATCTTGCCCCCTCTTTTTCTATTGCACAAAAAAGGTCTGCTCAAACTGTTATAAAATGATTTATTGAATAAAAGTAGCAATAACATATTAAATACCACTCTGTCAGAAGTACTACATTCAGTATTTTACTTAAGAAAAAATGAGCAACAAATCTATCAAAAAAAAAATTCAGTTATTGGATTATTATTGTTGATGTATTAAGTGCTTCTGTATGTTGTAGTTCGTGCGCTCATCTTTAACCTTTTATTTCGTTAATCATATAAGTTGTTATGCCTCCAAGCCGGCGGCAGCCAATAGCATGAGACTTGTTTTCGGGTTGTCGGTGCGTACACACACGTCTTTGGTCTCCTGAACATGATATCTCAAGTCTGCCTTTGAAGAATTTCTTCAAATTCTGACCCGTCATCACTTGGATTGAAAGATGAAGTGATTAGATTTCAGTGGTCAAAGGTCAGGCCAGGGTGACCTCATTTCATTGTGAATGCAATATGTCAGGAACACCTTGAGGGAGTTTCATATGACGCAAACATTCACTTGGACTGAAGGAAGAAGTGATTAGGTATGGGGTGGTAGAAGTCAAAGGTCAAGTTAACTGTGACCTCACATCGTTGCCTTTCTTGGATTGAATATTTCAGAAACAGCCTTATGGAATTTCTTCACATTTGACACAATCGTTCTCTGGGATTAAAAGATGTCTCACAGCATGTTTCCGCGCTGTTTGTTCAAGACTATATCCCTATTTTTTTGTTAGACTTCTTTTAGAGTGTGGTGTTTCAGTTTGAGAACAGGACTTATTGATTTCATGTTCAGATTTAATGATCTGAACATGATGAACATTAAGCTTTCAGATATGTATTTGCTCTAAATCTAAATGTTAAATGTCAAATCTAAAGGTTAAATGCTCAACCTTAATAGTAAAAATCTAAATGTTAAATCAAAATGTTAAATCTAAATATATAGTCATGCAGTTCATGAATGAAGTATCTGGACCTATTCAAGTTGTTTTTTCACTTTATGACTCTTATGGAAAATAGACACTCTAAACTTCTGTTATTGAATCATCTTTATATGGTATAGATAGAATCATCTTTATTATTATCTTAATGTCCATCCTAACCACACAGTACTCTACGACACTCTCCCACCTGTAGGAGGCCCCAAAATGTGTTTTTTTACTTGTCCAGGCACTTCCATACAGACACCTCCTTACAAAGGGGAGCCATTGAATATGGGCTATACAAGTACAATTTGATTGATTGATTGATTTATTCACCCCCCCCCCCAACACTTATGCAATGCCAACACAATCTGAACATACAAGTCAGTCTTATACTAGACTACTACTTTTAGCTGAGTCATGTGACACAAACAGAAAATAACCAGCTCAAGTGACCGTGCAGTTGAATAAACACACATGTAGATAAATAAATATTGGAAAAGTAACTTTATATAAAATGTGAAAAACAAAGGAAAGTCTAATAAAGTACCAAGCAGAGCAAATAAACAAAGTTACGTCATAGCTGACGTCACAACGTAAGCATACGTACTCCTGGCTCGAGCAGTTACGCAGGACGTGCAGCGGTTCAAAGAGGAAGGAAGATGGCGGACAACAAAGACGAGGAGGATATGAAACCCTCCAGTAATTCGGACTCAGTGCCTTCAGCCCAGGACAACGAGCAACCGGAGACGAAGGAGGAGAACGCGGTGATAGTGATAGAGGCGGACGTGAAGGGCAGCGAGGAAACAGAGCCCAATGAAAACACTAAGGAGGCACCGACACCCACCAGCGACGGAGGGGACGCTAGCAGCGGCGCTAGTGCAGGAGGCGAATCCAACGGTCGCGCTAGCAACGCTTCGAGCCCGACGGGGACCAACGGTTCCGCCGCAGAGCCAACGGCAGCTGAAGCTCCGACCGCCGGGGATGCTTCCGCTGGTGGACTCGCCACGGAAATGTCCCCCCCTCCTACCGCTCCATCGGCCACGCCGGTATCCACTCCCATGAATCTGCTGGATACGTGCGCAGTGTGTAAACAAAGTCTCCAGAGCCGAGACTGTGAACCAAAACTTCTGCCTTGTCTTCACTCGTTTTGCCTAAAATGTATCCCGCAACCGGAGAGACAGATCAGCGTGCAGGTCCCTGGTCCGCACGGGCAAACAGACACGCACATAGGTGAGTTTTTAAGAGCGGGATCCACCTGTGAGCAGGAACCCTGCCCTGTCCCCCCATGTTAGTCTGCATCGATAAGTGTGATCGGGTCCGAGTAGACTTGACGGGTTCATTTTTAATGGCTGCTGAGAAGACTTCAGTAAACTGGTGACAGGTGGAGTGTTTGATTTTAGACTTGGAATCTAAACACACTGTTGCTTACCGACAAGAGGAAGGTGTCAGTACACTCCCACCTCCCCTGCAAGCCGTCATTGGTGCTGCTGTTGATCACTTCTTCCCCACACTCACAGCATCCAGACGATCGTGGGCCAAAAATGAATTCACAATCATTTCACTGATAATAAGGTGAATGTTAAATTTTAAATCTAAATGTAAATGTTAAATCTAAATTTAAATGTAAATGTTATGTATCTAAATGTAAATGTCTCTCCCAGTGTAAAGCAAAATATTTAGGACATTTTCAAATAGCCCAGGCCCCTTGAACCGACCTCAGGGCACGAAATCCCGCCCACACCACAGACTGTCAAGTGGTCCTGGAAGATGGCAGCATGGTTAGCTCTCTTCATTTAGAAGATGTAGAAAGAGAAACTGTTGATTGAATCACACCTTGAATTGCAGCCTGCACACCTGCCATACCCGCCATTTCTATATTATTATTATTATTATACAATTTTTACATTTGGCACCTCATACAAGGCGATTGGGAAAAGGATTGCTGGTGTTTGGAGTCTTTATCCTTCTCAGTTTCTACACATGCAGCATTGCAAAATGTAAAAAAAAAACTAAACAATTTTCAATGGTCAGTCTTTCAAACATTCATGTTAAATAAATACCTTTCCAAGAGTAGTCTTCTGCAGTAGCACAAATTGATAGCTTATCTTATGAATGAATGTATGAATTATTATATGAATATATAACTATGAATGTAAATGTAATGTTAAATATATATATATGCGTAAATGTTATAAATCAAATGCAAGCTTTAATACTAGCGATGTGTTAAGTGGCCATGCTCCCTAACATTTAAAAATTAGCAAGGTTAGAACATGCAACATTTTTCAAAGGGCACTCGATATTGGGGAGACATACGTCAAAAACCATTTGGAAAAGACATCAGCTTGTGATTTATCATAGTTGCCATGGTCAATATAGGCAGCCAATATTAAATTGACAGACTTTTAGTGGCTTCTGATTTGTCTGGGTCTCACAGTTAGATCTATAGTATTATGTCTTGTAAATATCTTTAAAGGTTCAGTGTGTAGAATTTAGCAACATCTAGTGGTGAAGAAGCATGTTGCAGCTGAATTCTCCTCATTTTACCCTCCCACTCCCAACATGAAGGAGAACCTGTGGTAAACTTAAGTTGTCATAAAAAACAAATGTTTTTAGTCTGTTCAGTTTGTATGACAGTAAAGAAAACATGGCAGCCTCCACAGAGAGGACCCCCCTCCGTGTAAATATAAAGTATTCAAATATAAATTCTAAAACAACAAGGATTATTTATATTAAATATCTGTCAAAAATCCCTTTCACCTAAATCTTACACACTGAACCTTTAACACATATCGACACTAACATGACTGGTTCCTCATTAAACTAGTCAAACTGATAATGAACCTCTGCATATTCAACAAGTTTGACTGTTATAGAGAATAATTATTAACAGTTACACAAAGTAATTCAGTATTTCTACTGAATTGATAGAAATTCACCTGTCATAAGATAAGTAGAGCCTTTACAATAAAGTAAGTTAAGGTAAACGTTATTGATCCCACGCAGGGGACAAGTTAACAG